TATATATATATATATATATATATATATATATATATATATATATATATATATTTCTGTATATGTATATATATATTTCTTTTTTCACATCAATAATTCACAATTTCCGTGAAGATACGAACCAAGCTAAAATACTCGTTTGTGTGTATAGAATTCTTGATAATAATAGGATCAACGAAATACAGCCTGGACATCTAACGGGACTGAATAAATTGGAGACTCTGAAACTGGACCAAAACGAGATTGCGATAGCGGACTTTTCCGACCTGGAGAACAGCACCACTATATACTTGATGTAAATGATCGTAGTACAAAAGGCTATCTAAAACTGTTTGGAACACAAAGCCGATCTTGATCTGTTGAAATTTCCTACATCTCTTACGAAATAGCTATTCATTTCTTTTCTTACTTTTATATCTTCTATACGCGCTATACGCCTATCTATTTAATTATATGTTATCATCGAAAAACTTACAACCCACTCCAATTACCTATATTACTGTTTGTATTTTTCATTATGTGCAAGGTCATAACTCATAAAAATTAAAACTTACGATCTGCTATTAACCTCTGAGTAATGTAATGTATGCACGATAAGCACACGGTCTATTTAATACAATCAGTGCATCTGGGCAAGATATCGTTATAGAAATATAGATCCGTTTGCAAATTGCTTTCTCGAAGCGTAACTTATCGAACCATAACCTTAGCAGGGGAAGAGGGGAGGTAGCAAATAAACTCCTAAACGGCAATGAGATGAAATCGGGCTAAAAATTCTGAGCACCTATACGTGTTGCTTCTTTCGAGGCAAGTGAATTTTCTACACTTGCGAAGTCGACACGGATTCGTACAGCGCGTACATTTTAACTCGCCTCTATTTGAAACGATTACCAAGGATTGTTTTCATGGCTGTCTTTTTTTACATTCACAAACAGAAACTTGAAGAACAACATGTTGACGACATCCACCTTGAAACTGCCACGGTGGTCAACGTTGACGGAAATGTAAGTACGCTACGTTTAACTCTCGAAGTGTACACGTGCGCGTTCCCGATTTTCCAAAGTAGCGTTTCAGAATACTGGACGGGAATCGCTTCGAGTCGATAACGGAAGATCTGTTCGCCGGATGCCCCGCTTTGAAATCACTGTACGTAAGTAGATTACGGAAGCGATTACTGTCATTGTTAATAAGATTCTGCGAGCTACTAACGGAGCAACGATGATTCAGGAGTATGGAGGACAATAGCGTGAGCAACGTCGACGAGCGAGCGTTCCGAAACCTGCGGCAACTTGTCGAGCTGTAAGTCTGCAAATGTTAACAATAATGTAACTCAGTCGGTAGTGTTGTAATGTAGTTACATGTATCTAATTACAATATCTAGATAGTTCTTGTATATATCTACTAGTAACTAGTTATGTTTCTCAGCTCAGTAATCGTAAATGCAACTAATCTCATTTTATCTCGGATCTGCATCTAAAATATCATTATAGGTAAAGATACAATTTTGGCGTATGTGTATTCTGGCCGTGGAGCAAGTCCATTGGCCAACAATTTTGGTGAATTCATAATATCGGTATTATGTGAGTTTTTTTCACTTATTTCAAAACCTATCAAGACAAAGCGCGCTGCGATGTTTTAACTTAAGATAATCCAAGCAAACTTGTCCACGATGAAGATTTGATTTGTTTGATAATAAACAAGCCTTTGCACTGCGGTTTGCTCTTACTAATTAGAATAGCACAGCTAGTCCACGAGAATTCACACCTTGACAGAGAAATAGAAAATGGAAAGGCAAAAACCAATTAGAGAACTCGCAAGGACGAAATTGGTAGAAATCAGTAGTTATTTTAATATTTTAGTTCTTAGTATTTGGTTCCAAAGACACAGAGATAATTTTTTCAGCGTATAATCCTATTTCAGCAATTTGGCCTATAACAAGATAGTGACGTTACCGCCAGACATGTTCCAACCTGTGAATAATCTGTCGAAGCTGTAAGTGCTTAAACTTAACTGTAGCCGTAGTACAATTCCCGCGATAATCAGTTTTACCGTTGAGTGCTTGAGTGCCGCGTACACGTGCCTCGGGAGCGTTCGCCAGTGCTTGCTGCGCTAATCCGTTCGCGAAAGTGAATTACGGAAACGTCACATATCCGCGCGACCGACCGGTTTTAATTATAATTTAAGCATACACGCACGTAAACCGGAATCCATTCCACGGGTAAATAAAGCCCACCGCTCCAGCAAAAAGCCTGATATAATCTCGTCCTTGCAGATTAATCGGTTACAATCCCGTCGCCGAGTTACCGATGACGCTTTTTAATCCGCTGCGTAATCTTCATTCTCTGTAAGTTGCAATTTTTTGCCTAAAAAGAAAATTTCTAGCCTATATGATATCTTCTTTCTTTCCATTTGGCAGGATACTGCGATGAGAGATATGTGAAAGTACAATAGTAGCAAAACGAAGCAAGCTAATAATTTAATTTCGTAGCATTTTTATCACGTTACGTTTGTGTATTTAATTAGTCGACTCCCTTATTCCTAATTGACACTGATCGATCAGTTTGTCACTGAGAGAAATTATTCAATAAGAAATTAACTAAGGGATATTTCCGATTAAAATACCGATGAATTTTTATGTCCGATCAGGAAACATCCGATGAAAAATATCGGTTCATAATTTTTCGATCGGTTTATGTGATGAAATGCCATTATAATCAGAAGTATTCGATTAAATTTAATCGGATATCCTGATCGGATAAAAATTCATTGGTATTTTGACCGGAAACATCCGTTTGTTAATTTTTTATCGGATAATTTCTCTCAGTGTTCAATAACGCAATCACGTTGAATTTCAGAGGCGTCGAAGATATAAACATGGACAATATGAAAAAGGATGCGTTCGACATGTTGCTGAACCTTGATTTCGTGTATGTTTCTTCATTACCTGATATAGCGATGGCTCGTTGAAAAAACAAGTTCAAACATATTAAAATTGCTACACGGAAGCAGTATAGTTGGGCTACACACAAGTGCCAACCAGATTTAAGAGAATGCTGAAACGGACGACGAATTCCAAAAATGTCGATAACATAGAGACAATCGTCACCAACACAATCACGCTATCCTTTTCGTATTTCTTGCACATATAGCCTCAACCAATTTCCGATTACCACAATCGGATTACCACACACGCAACCACATTGATGTAGTTGACGTACTAAAATAGCTGAGCCTATCAGCTATACACATATTACCATCGCACAAAGATAACTATAGTGATGCACAACTATGCTGCTTACTTAACTGAATACTTCTGATTATGAGCGTCATATATTTTTCTGTGTAGCGAATGGAATCAAACAGATTAAAATTTCAGATACTTCAAGAAATTCCATTACTGCATGACTTACGCACCAAAGGTACAGAAATGCAGACCTATTAGCGATGGTAAGACCGCGTGAGTATCATGAATTCAGAGTATCATGACTACTCAGAAACAACAAGTATCAGTAACATAATATCGATGTTAAAATATCAGCTCAATCATATGATATCTTATGTAACTGTTACATGTTATGTACATGTAATATATCATACACAACAGATACATAACAGATACACCATAAAATTGAGCTGACATTGTAACATCGATGTTATGTTACTGATACTTGGTGTTCACCGAGTAGATACACGGGCAAAATATTATAATTTTCTTCTTTCATAGAAGTTCTTTTCAATTTTACTATATGTTTTCAGGAGTAATCTAATAGTGCAGGGATAAGCTATCAGTAAGGTCACTAGAAATATAGCAAATTTTCTCATAGCATGGTTTCTAAAATATAAATAGCACATTCAAAATAGATAGCATAATCCTTCAAAGACGTCCCAAAAACATCCTGAGGACTTTTAAATGTCCGCATATTCCCAGGATATCCCAAAGATATAGTATGAGAACTTCTAAATGCTCGCTGAAGTCCCTAGAATATCCTTTGAAGATCTTACGCTGTCTGGAAAAAGACAGTCAATTACTGCGCTTTCTCGTTTCAAAATTCTATAGTAATTCAGATTTCTATGATATATAATTTTGATTTTTTCTATGAAATTTTCTCTGTGCAGAAAATTCTTAAATGGTGAACGATTAATTCACTGCTGAAACAACCGTAATGGAAGTTACGTTTAATACGAAGAACAATGTATTCCTCTTTCTCTCCTCTTTTTCTCTCTTCCTCTTTTTCTCAAGGTGTGTCATCGCTGTCTCATTTGCTGGACAAACCTCTGCTAAGAGCAGCCGTTTGGAGTATCTCTTGTCTCACCTGCCTGGGTAACGGCCTCGTCCTTTGGGGAAGATTCACTGCCAAAGATGAGAATCGTGTCTTGAGTATTATTATCAGAAATCTCGCAGGTAATCGCCGAAAGTTTCTAATAACACAGAATGCGTAAGAAAGTGGCCCACACCATAAGTAATTCCTCAATTTTAAATGCAGACCTGTTAGCTAAATTTTTTATAGAAACCTGAAGAGAATTCCGCAAATCGTTGCTTCATATCACACGCGTAAGACCGTTACACAGACGCGAGATAACGACGGCATAAATAATCCGTATTCAAATGATTCGCAGTACGCACGAATCACGAAGTGCACGCGAGCTATCATCGTTGCGGTTCACAACAAAGCGCAACGATGATCGATCGTGTATATTAATGTTAGGCTCGCTATAAATCACAAGGCGGTAAGTCACGTAATCCTTTTACAGTGTCCGACATGTTGATGGGAATATATCTCTTCATAATCGCCATAAAAGACGCGAGGTTCCGCGATAACTATAAAGAGGAAGCGAGCGCGTGGATGTCCTCGTGGTCCTGCACGTTTCTAGGAGCGCTAGCGATGACGTCATCCGAGGTATGCGCATTAACACCTCGCTGGATCCCACAATTTGCAATTCGCAACGTACAATTATTATTTAACGGTACTGTTTGTTACGACCGTTGCGCCGCGCTACTGTTCAGCAAGATCTACGAAACGATTGTGCACATTTTCGATCTTGCTGATAAAGTGAGTACCAGCTAATTATCACATCATCATTTCGCAAAGAGTTTAATAGATCTCTCTACAGTATTTTCAGTCGATTCCCTTCGCGAGATTTTATAACTTGAGATAGTTGTATCGCTACGTGTTCTCAGTCCTCAAAGAGAACTCAGTTTTCAGTCTATCAAAAAGTTGTGTGGATTCTGATTTATTGCACCGATTTACCATATATGCAAGTTTACGAGATTCTTGATTATATGTTTTGAAAAATTTTGAAAAGATTATTATTTGTCTATAATATTTTTTGTAGATATTACAATCTCTGGAATATTTGTATGATGTAACGTGGAAAAAAAACAGCAAGAAACCATTCTTTAGCAAAATTATCGTATTAATATAATTTTGTCACATACGCAACACACACATTCTACTTTCAGCGTTTTAACATTTTTCGTTAAACAAAAACAGAAATTAAAGGTATCACGTTAATCTCAATAAACACGTATAAAAAGTGTCAACTTTAAGTTGCAAATATTTTAGCTCTCGAATGGTCAATCTTTCCTTAATTACATGAGCAGATGGATAATATTAGTGTGTATGTAGCGCGAGTTTCATCAAATCCTCACGAAACTTGCTTAATGATACAACAACCTTAATTTTGAACGTGCTAAAAAAGATTGAAATTAGCTGTGATACTCAAGAAATCGAATATCACGAAATTATGTCACGAAAGTAGGATAAATGATCTTAAATTGCTGGCCAAGGTTTCCGTGCTCATCCTGTCATTCATGTCCGTGGAGCGATTTATTTTGATCACAGCCCCTTTGAAATGTCATCGTGTCATGACATCTCAAGACGCATCCTTGTCGATGATCATCATTTGGCTCACCGGACTTATCCTCGCCTTTGTGCCAGGTTTGTTTTCGTAAGAAGATAATTTTTCTTTATTTTTAGACTCGCTGTCGCGAATACAATAAGCAGTCAATCATTTCAATCATTTCAAATGCTATAGTACGTCTGAGTCAACAATTGTGTCAAGTTTTACGAAAAACTAGTTCCTCGAGAAAGAAACTTTTCGTAACTCCCGATCGTGATAATTAATTGTTTTGTCTTTTCCGAATTAAAAGCTATCCATTGGAGAAGCAGCACGAGGTTCTACGGCGTCAATGGAATGTGCTTTCCTTTACACATCGACGACCCATATTTGATAGGCTGGGAATACTCGGCCTTTATCTTTCTGGGACTTAATCTTCTCGGGTAAACCGTGCATTATTACGACGGCTTTGTAATTGAACGTAGTTATGCAATATGGAATCAACCGCCATTTTTTCGATAAGAATTATAGATCATGATTCAGCGGTTATTATTACATACCTTCGGTATCACGCTTCAGAACGAACAATTCTGCCTGCGACATTCTTTACAGAAAATACATTTTCTTTACAGAAAGGCCGACTTTTCGAGTTCTTTCCGTATTCGCATGGTTACACTTAATTAATATACCGACGTTTGAATTTTTTAATAAGCTCATCACACGGTAACAATATCACGGTTTTAGTGGGAAAAAATTTTAATCAATGTGAGCTACGGGATTCGACCCGAGTTCTCATCTCGTGATCATGTTGAGAGAAATTATCCGGTAAAAGATTAACAAACGAAAATTTCCGATCAAAATACCGGTGCATTTTTATATCCAATCAGGATAATTCGATTAAATTTAATTGAATACTTCCGATCATAATGGCATTTCATCAAATAAACCGACCAAAAAATTATGAATTAATATTTCTCATTGGATATAAAGATTTACCAGCATTTTGATCGGAAATATCCGTTTGTAAATTTCTTCTTGAATAATTTCTCTCAGTGTGAAAAAAAGGGAAAGCCACAGCAAAACTATCGTTGTATTCATTTGCAGATTGATGATTATCGGCTACGTTTACACTGGCATGTTCGTCAGCATTTGGAGAACGCGCCACACTACGCCGTTGTCGGCCGGCGATTACGAGTTCGCCCTGAGGTTCTTCCTAATCGTGTTGACAGACGCGGCGTGTTGGGCACCGATTATAGCGTTGAAGATCCTCGCCATGATGAAGTACCCCGTGCCACGTAAGCAGAAAACCCGAGAGAGTTTCGCGTTCCCACCTACTCGTTTCGTTCGCAAAATTTTGTCGACCGGTGTTGGACGTTAATTGACTAAAAAATGTCAGTTGATAAAAATAATCGACAATCAAGATCAACGAATCATCATAAATAAAATCACGAATAACTTAATCGATTGGTAAAGTTAATTAAACTTTAATTTTTTATTCATTGTACACCGATTATTAATTAATTTCGTCGAGAAGAATATCGACGCGAAACGAGTCTGGTGATTTAATACGATTTAATACACGGTTAAACTTGAATAACAACCGAATAAATCATTTATAGCCGATTTACATGCTTGGATAGTGATCTTCATTCTGCCAGTGAATAGCGCGATCAACCCGCTGCTGTACACTTTTACCACGCCAAAATTTCGCGAAAGGCTCAGCGAGGGTTGGTGCGGTCAAGCGTTCAGGTGCATATCGAGGAATCACTCCAAGCAAGGTTCGTAACAATCATGCATTTCCAAACGAATAAATTCGAATTGTTGGATAGAAACAACAAGGAAGTCAAGGCAAGATTACGACAATTTTGGCAACACGATTTAGTCAGCGTATATTGTCAAGCATAACTCTGAGTAAGGCTCAAAAGATTTCATCCTGCGCTCATTATTTATTAAAAAGTTATTAACAAAAATGTTTCAAGAACGTACCAGTTAACAATAGCGCTAAGATATGCTTTACCTAGTTATTTGCTATTCCGTATGCGAAAACAGTACATGTACGAGTATATGTATGGTAAGTCCCTTCCCTCTGCATCTTGACTCTTAAAGATTCAACCCCAACCCTACCTACGTCAGTAACATTAGCGTTTATTGTTGTGAAATCTATTTTAATTGATGTACTTTTCTTGATATAAGTCATGATTTTGATAACACATTAAGATCTAAATGAATCGTGCTTTTCTAAATAATTTCTATAAATTAATAGCAGAACCGCTTTTGATTTACGAAAATGGAATCGAGTGACATTACTTTCCCAATAATACGGCCATGTTTTATTTCACTAAAAGTTGATATGTTGCATGACACGTAACAATATAATGAAAGGAAAACTTGAGCCAAGTAGCCACTGATGTTTCCTTTTCTGTGATTACAAAGCGCGAGATCAAAGAACGCATTGTTTGATTTCCGCGACTGTCGCGGCTTAGACGTTTGCTCAGTTTCGCGTTTTGTAAACACAGAAGAAAAACACTAATATAGTTCGAGCTTTCCTTTCATTGACGTCCAACCGAACGATCACGACTGAAGGGGAATGGAAAGAGAAGCAAGTTGCATTCCAGACTCTATGTTCTCTTAGTATTGTATTGGGAACCGCAAATGAAAATAAACCAAAATACCACAGCATGTTTGTACGTAAACAAACGTCAGCAATAAATACTCGTAAAAAACTCAAAAATAAACAATCAGTATTTTTCTGATTGTTTTCATATTCAAAATACTTTTGAGAAACGCTTTCATTTTGCGTCTCGCCAAAGTTATCGTAACTTACCCATATTTCCATATAAACGAACGGAATCAGGATACTTGCCCGTAAGATTGAATAAAAATTTAGATAATAACACGGAGATAGAGCCGTCTGTTAACAAGACTCGTATAACTGATACTTATATTACACGGGCAAACGGACGCATAAATATGTATTACAATGTAAATAAGCTTCTCGAGTACACATAGGAGTAATTGAATTTCCTGGTGAACCGAGGGAACTCATCCGCGTAACCTTTATCGCAGATTCGCGGGAACCGTCTACTACGGTTACCAATAAAAACGCGACACCATCATCGCCCATCTGGACCAACTACGACGGCGACAGGAAGAGAACGTCGCCGCTGCCGTTTCATTGACCCCAACGACGAAAGAATTCCACCTGAAAAGCGGGACGCTGAAATTTCGTAAACTCATCTATTAAAAGGAATTATGTCGCACTTCTCTCGCTGTTAAATGTTACACGAATCGCTCACGCTGAAAGTCGTGCATCGTAGAGCCAAGAATGGACGGAGAAAGGGGGAAGGAGGCTGTTACGAATCAACTATAAGTCCTTACGGCATGTTCGTCAAGCGCTATCACCGAGTGAATAGCTTCGGATTAGCGATAGTGAAATTCCGTTGCTCGATAGAGCAATCATTAGAAAAGAGAATCTCTCTCGTAATAGTTGCATTCATTGCGATAACATTCAATTATGAGCACAAATACACGTCTATTGATCGCACCTGAAAAGCTTGCTGGATACACGCTTTGCTTGATTGTCACATAAAGTACTCACGTCGATTCTGCACAAATCCTATCTTATAAGGGGGTCGCGCACACCTGTATTTTGCGCATTAATTATCATCAATGTAATGCACACGCATAAAATGCGACTGATACTGTCTCTCCTTCAAGCAGTTTAGTCTGTGATTCACTCCAAAAAGTATAACCTCATCCTTAACGGGATCCTCTTATTGTTGGTTTCAAAGCGGTTCTTCTAAAGCCGAAAAAAATTTTAACACAAAAAAAAACCCTGGTTGCAAGGTAGTACTTTCTGCAGTCTCATATTCTAAGTAATAGCTTTTACTAAAGGAGCGTTTCTCTTCTAATAAAGTAGATTATTAATCGAAAATCTGCCAGACATAATTCTAAATTTGTTCAAGCAGAATTAGCTTTTTACAGATGATACAAAAGACACAACAAGCAAAACTTGTGCTGTAGATAAAGAATGAAGTTTCTCAAACTTTAAGAATAATGTGCTTAGAATATTTTCCTTTTGGGGTTTTAAAAAAATCAAAGTCACAAACTATAAATTATATAATCCTTTTGAGGCCATATATAAAAGGATTCCGTCAGAAAAAAGATAATATTTTTTTAGTGTTATTTATTACCCATTTATTGTTCATTACCTTCAAAGTTAAAGAAATAAATTAAAGGTTCTGCCTCAAAGAGAGCCGATTGTTCCAACTTTTTGGTAAGCTACTTGACAGTTAAATTATATGTTTGTCTTCTCTTTTTTCTCAAATTAGTCAAAGATAGACATATAATTTAACTGTTAGGTAGCTTACCAAGTTAGAAGTTAGAACAATCTGCTCTAAATCTTAATCATGAAAGAGAACAAAAGATTATATGAGAGTCTATGCGTAGACCTTATAGTGCAATAAAAATAATAATAAAATACTTATCATTTAAAATTCATTTAAAATACTTTTTAAATGAAAAGATACTAAATTTATTCAAATAATTCAGACGTCTCGAATCCTCTTCTCAATGGAGAAATAATCAAAGTCAATTCTTACATTCCTAACATTATAATTTCATTCCTAGCATTACAACATCGTCTTTTTTATTTGATGGTAACTTAAAGTAATTATTTTGTGTTGGACCACAAGTTTCGTGCATAAGATCTTTTGTTCTTCTTACTTTATTTACTTCGTCTAAGAGATTGCACCGCTTTCGTATTTCACAATTCTGTCGGTTCTGTTTGATTGAAAGGCGAGACATCGCGTTCTTATTCTCGTTTCTTTAACTTGGACTGCACGGTAACAAAGGACTCTCGCTTGTTTTCTGAATGTATTGTTTCGCGCACCGGTGACCCCGGCATGCGGATATTTCAATCGCGCGAAATCTCCGATGGCCCGCGCCGAGGTATCCACCCACGTAGAAATCGTGCTCGAAAACGCACATAAATTATTTTCCGCCGAAGTCGGAATCGCGACCGCACGCGAAACATTTACGACATCGATTCTGATGTACCAGCAAATCATGCTCCACGATCTGGCACCGTTATGCAGGGTCAGGGCCACTTGTTCCGTATTATTATTGCGAGATGAGAAATTTATCCTCGAATATACGGGCGTGACTTTTTAACGGCTGCGCCGCTGTACGCTCTAAAACGAGCACTACATCACTCAAATATGCTCGATTAGTCGCCCCGAGACCCATCATCCCTCGCCAATATGACTTACGAAACGATCGTAAATGATAAGACCGCTGAAGCGACGAGAGACGAGAAAGATTACTGACAATTAACTTCCACTTTCGATAAATAGCACATTTCTCATCCTCGTTTCCGTGTATTAGAACGTAAACAGTTATCCGACAGGTTTCCTTGAGACACATCAAATTCAAAATAAACATGAAATGTAAAATAAAATTAACGAAGTCGAAATAACACGCAGTAGTTACAGAAAATACACAGATAACGTGATGTCGCGTGCTGTAACAAATGTAAAAAAAGACACAAAAGAATAACATTTAGGGGAAACCGTATCCTAAAACACGCATTTGGAAATAGAGTCACGCAGAATTATGAAAATTTGAAAAGAAATTAAAACAAAAGTTTACTGGTTCCCTGGATTCACCATTCCCAATCCTGGACATTCTTATTGTTTTGGTTTTTATAAATACAAGTATTTAAACTTTCTATATAATATATACAATTATGTCCGTGTGTGTGTGACAATTATTGACATACCTGTTGTCAAACTGAACACAAAATTCCTCTACTATTTTACAAAGAACGACGTGAAATTTTGAGTTATTAATTGAAGAAGATTGATAAATAATCATGCGCGTTACGGCAAATGAACTGTGACGGCGACACGTCTGCCGTTGTGTGCTTGAACATCAAGTCAAACTGAACAACAAAGTCCTCTACCATTTTGCAAATAATCACGTAGATTTGTAGTTACCAATTAAAGAAGATTGGTGTAGAATTCTGCACGATAATGCACCAATCTCCTTTAATTAATAACCAAAAATCTAATCTCTGGTTCTTTGCAAAATGATAGAAGACTTTGTTGTTTAGATTAATCTAATATTCAAGTATCGCGTGATCATTTGCCAGTCTTATTGAATTAATAATTCAAAATTTTACGTGATTGCTCGCGAAATGACAGATGAACTTTATATTTAGCTTGATGAGTTCCAGCTACACACAACGGTCATGAATTGTCAGACACCCTGTATACATATACCGAATATATACATGTATTCTATGTTGAGAGTTTAAATATTCTTATTTAAAGCAATGTGTCCAGGATTAGGTACGTGTTCAAGAATATTGGTAATTTTATCTTGACGCACTTAACGTTACTCGCGCGTTTGCTTATACGAGAGAACTTCTCGATTGCAATCCATTAAAACGCGCGGATATAAACAACGGGCGCGATGCAACGATATCCGACTTCCGACTTTCGGAGGGTTACAGTCAGCCATAAATCATGCGAACGGCCAAGAAAAATGCATCTTGCGAGCACTCTACGATCTACCGGCACGTGGGTTGGCTCTTACGCGATATAATGTGTAATTTATGGCGGATGGCCAATGGTAAGGTCCCGTTAAGGGGCCTCGATACTTCGCCCGAGACAGACCGCCTTTTAGGACTGACTTTTCTTCCGCCTTGAGCTGCTAAGATTTCTTCAGCTACAATACAATTACGCCGCGACGTGGGCGGGTATGCGTTATGCGATCATCCACGAAATCGTCCCGGAATAAAAAGACAAACGTCGCTTCTCAAGCCACGTGGGTAATGCGAACGGGTGTGACGCATAGGCGCAAATATCGCTGAATTACACCGACTCCCATCCAGAGTTCAGAGAAGAAGATTTCGCTTGACCGATACTTAAACGGTAATTGCCACTTATCTCGCGCGTATCTCGATTTTCATCGTATTTGCGGGAAGGGGGGATTCACTGGGCATTAAATATCTTAAACGATACACACTTAACGGTCAAGAACGACCAGTTTCATTCCATTATAATGTACATTTACATTATGTACATTTACAGGTAGGTCGCACTCGTGTGTGTTCGCGTATTACTTTGCTCGCATTATCGCGCGATGCGTTCCGACTCCTTCAGATGAACATTACTGTATTTATCTGTACACGACAAAATGACTTTTCCGATAACGGTGCTGAGCACGACATCGGCCGGAAGGCGGAGAACGTGAAGGAATTCACAATGAGCGCGTACAATACCTATACACACAGCGCGATTGTAACAGCTCCCGGCGATAGAAGAATATTCTGCCGGCACGCACACACGTTACACAGAGCGAAAGCGAACAGCAAGATCGCAACCTTCCAAAGGCCTTCCCGGGAACTGCTCCGGGAACTATCGGTAGCGCAGAATGCAGAAAAGGAGCGAAACGTCGTAAGCATCGGCCGTCTTTGTAAATAATTACCGCGATATCTTCGACATTTCTACCAACAAACATCGCAATAAGCTCAGCAAGAACCACCATCTTCTCGATCAAATGAGTAACGGCAATTTAATTTGTCCATAAAAGAGTGAACCAAAACTTTAAAAGTTCTAGAAAGTATAAACTAATTTAGAAACAATATTCTTGTGTATCTACAAGCTCATTTTAATATTCTGACGATATTAGAAAATCTGACTAATTGAGTCAACAATAATAAAATTCTTTTTTATTATTTATCTCTCTACAGTTATGCAGTTGCTTATCTATCAAAGAACATTTTGTATTTATGTTGAAATCGATCTGCGTAAAAATTTTGATGTTAAATTTTTATATTGTTAACATATTCTTGTATTTTTAATTTAACATATTTTTATTGTATTATTTTGACTATTCTGCGCGTTGAGCTCATCATTTCTGTTAAAATAATGTTATAATAATACAACTAAGTGTTCAAGTGTTACATTTTTATATTTATTTCCGGCGCATTATTTTTTTGTTCATATATTTTCCTTACCCGTTAAACTAACATGAAAATTAGAGTGGATAAATTGGAATATATGAAGTATATTAAATTTAACACAAAATTTTTTACAGTGAATTTGTCTTTTTCGCAATAACTTCTAGAGTATTGTTAGAATATTAGCATGGAATTGTGGCTACATTAATTCAAAATTATTTCGTATCTTTTACAAATTTTGAGGTTAAAGGCGATTTATTTTTTCTTTTATTACTTATTTCGTACTTTTTTACTATTTACTAAAAGTTTATGTTGGTGTAAAGTCGACTAAAACATCTTCTTTTCTCGAGTCGGTTAAAAATAAAGGTTTCGTCTTACATCTCTAGATATTCCAGGAGTTTCAAAACAATAAAGGGATTACCTCATTTTCAGATCACCTGAGACAAACCTGAGTGATGACGCTAATTTAAGGGAATAGATAACATATTGAATAAATTATAAAAAATTCCATCTCTATATCTCTAACGGTTCTACAGTTATAAAGGAACATACAAACAAACACAAACATACAAAAGACAAATTGATGAGAACCTCCTTTTCTTAAAAAGTCGATTAAAAAATTCCCTGAAAACAATACGCCTCGCGCGATGTTGAGCAATTAAATTTGAAAACAATTATCTATTTCGTTCGATTGCAAAGTAGACCTCGTATAGATGGGTAAAAATTGATCGAAGGATATATACGCCTGGCTGTGGCCAGCAACAATGGAAAGGTCTTGAAAACGTTAATAATGTCTCGAACAGATCGCTCGCCAATCTACGAAATTGGCCGGCGAGATTCGCAAAGAGTTAAAGACGGCCATCAGACGATCTCCAGCGCGAAATCGATGCGAAAGAGCCGCCCGCGCCACGGATCTTTCTTCCCTCCCCCCTACAATTATAGGGTATAAAAATTCTTTCGGATTTCAGTCACGCGAGCAAGGCTGCATTCGGTCCACGGGAAGAAGATTTACGTGCGAAGCGGTAATTGGCGCCGGTTCAAATTTTTACAACGTGGAAGACCTTTGGATACAGTCTTCGCGATAAGAAAATGTGGAGTGCCACGTGAGAAATCAAGGAACGTTTAGTTAAACGTAATTATTATATTTGTCGATGGTATAACGGAAACTTACTCTTCCTTTATTCCTTTATTCGTAATTAAACTTTTTCTTTGTCCGTACAATATTTGTGACTATGCTTAAAAATATTCAAATATTAAATATAATACCTTGATATATATATAAATTTAATGCAATTCAGTTACTAGATAGTTAACTTTTATCTAGCAACTGAAAAGTAAAATTATTTCGAAACCCAATCATAAGATGTAACTTGCTTTTCTTGCAGTTACTGCGTGCGAAAGACGCGCAAAATCTGAGCCTATTTGCTGAACGGAAACAGAAATTGAAGCTATTAAATTGATCATCTGCTGTTTATACAATAAGTACATTATTCCCTAGTAATATTTTATTTCTTGTGCACATTTTTTTGAAAAATTATAATGCTAATGACAGGGATGATAGCGCGGGAAATCTTTCATGCGTGATATATCCATGTTTTTCGCCTTATACGTGATATTTTTCATAACTATAAAATGACACATGGTTCTTTTATTTGTTCTTACAGTTGTGCTCTTTCATGAAATTCTGAGTCTAAGCTATTATAGCAATTTTCATTTGTATCATTATTACCGGAATAGTCGTGTTTTTATTGCAATTATTAACATGTGCCATTAGTTATTTATTGGTTTTCATTTGGTCATAATTATGCAAGAATAATCCAACTCACAAAATTATGATTTCTGAGTTTTTGTTTCACTAATGGTTCGTTTATACGTCTTTCTACATATAACAAAAAATATTCAAGTTTTATCTCAAATTAATTTAAAAAGTTTTTATTTTCTAGTAGTTACGCCATTTTTCACTAGCGCATTTTTATCTACTTTTAAAGATGAAACTTGTCGATGAATACTCTTAAAAAGAAAAAAATTAATCGTGCTCAATTTCTTGAACAATTACAAAGAATCCCTCTCTCTCCTCTTCCTCCCCCCTCTCTCTCTCTTTCTCTCACTCAATACTATCTATACTTTTGAATCACACTTTTCTCTTCACTTTTCCAAAACGTACTATATGTATGTTTGATTCTTTTTACGGTCATTTAATTACGGTCATTTTTAACCTTGATTGTCATCTGTATCACAAAGCTTGATATTGTCAAATGTCTTATTTCCTCTAATTTTCTTTCTTCTGTTCTACATGTCCACTCATTGTTCACGCAACTTTAAACTCTTTTTGATAATATAAATAAATATATTTCAAATTTATTTACAGCAAATATTATAATACATGCACATGATATAACTGTATTAATATTACCGATGCTATGTCTTGGAAAAAGAGAGAGAATCGATCCACGTATTGCACAATAAACTGCTCTAACCATTAAATAAACACTTAAATAAACACCATTTAATAAAACACTTATTGTCCAGTTCCTACGCAGAATTTTCACAACTGACGAAACTATATTAATACTAGACAGTAATAGACAATATAAACTAGACAATAATTGGTAATAATAAACAATAAAAGACAACAGACAACGCAAACTGCACACATTTCTATCAGGATACGTGTGTTGTGTTGTGTT